TATAGAGTTTGGATGCAGAATATTCTCAGAGCAGAAAATACAGGCCCTTTTGTTACTGTTTAAATAAACAAGACAATTTAAAATAAACCTGTCACAGACATTTATTCAGACCAGTTAAGACTAATTATGGAGAGACTAATGCTGGAGAGTTTTGCTAAAGATACCCCAGGGGGTAAGAGGAGGGGAAGGCTCATTAAGAGGAAAGGGGGCTTTTGTTGACCTATCTATCAAATATCTGCAGTGTTAATTTTCCTGTTCGCTGTGTGGCCATGTCTTCAGGGCTGGTAAGGGACAGTTTTGTATTTCCTAGTCTCTAATATTGCTGTGTATACTGAGTCCTCTTCATTTTCATTCTTTCCGCCCTAGCTATTCTCTGCCTTTTGTGTCTGAGGTAATTGTCTTCTGCTTGGTATAAGTAGTCTTCAATTAGTCCGATCTGCAATTATAAAGAAATAGTGTCAAAAGAATTTCCCTCCCCCTCTATAGAAACTTTAAAAATATTTGCAATTAGTTTATTTCAAAACTAATTGTCATTAGAAAGAAAAATACACGAAGGTATCTCTCATACAATTGGTTGGAGTAGCAGTACCTGATTTTTTTTTTTTTTTTTTTTTTTGGTCCCTTTCTGTTTAGATTAAATTACTTTACTGCTGTGGAATAGACCCTTTCATTGAAATCTGCACATTGAAAACAGGAATTTATCACAACTCTGTCTTTAAATGGCATTGAAAAACAGCCACTTTAAAAGGAAAGGATGATGAGGAAATTAATCTTCGGCAAGTTTTTCTTGATAAGGAAAGAGAACAGAGGCTTCTGGCATTTATATGCCAAAAATCAACACGTGGAGAAAAATGAGTATTCCACATTGCTGTGGCAAGAACCATTTTTCTGTGAAATCAAAATGAAATTCTGAATAAATATGTTTTCCCATGAATATAATACATTAGAGTACAGTAAAAGAACACATGACCTTAGTGTCCCCCCAAAATAAAAACATAATTATTCTAATAAAGAATACACTCAGATAGACACATCTTCCTTGCAGGGGTGATTTCAAAGCAACCAAAAATGTAGATTAATTTTACTGCATACAGGTATTCTGTAAATACCAGGCATTCATAATTTTATGTCTCTATCTCCCCATACCTTACCTTTATTCATACCCTTTGTCAACTTTTGCGGTATGCAGCGTTTCTGTAAGGTGAAGAGGAGAATCATCTCCCTTCACACTGAGTTATACTCAAGACCTAGACCCTATATAATGTGAGGATCTAAAGCATCAATCTTCCAATTGCATTTTAAGCTGAAATATTAAAAAAAAAAAAAAGTCCTAATCTATCACCGTGACATGCATTCAGTGGAGCATTGCTTCTTTAGGCACAACACAGAACAGCTGACTGTGAATTAATCCGAGTGTGGCTTCCCGTTGTATTTATTCACACATTGAGCTGTTACCGAAGTGCTCCTCAGCCCTGAACTGGAAGCCGTGCTGTGCGCTCCATGGTTTGTGCTGGTGTGAGGGGTGCGCGTGTGCGAGAGAGACACTGAGGCAAGCAGAAAAGCTTATGGACAACTCCATCTGCCTCCCTGGGGTTCTGAGGGCACGAGGAATGTGTTTGGGAGAGGAGCTTTGCCTCCTCCTCCCCACCAAGCTTGCAGGGATGCCCCATCCCTGGAGGTGTTCAAGGCCAGGCTGGATGAGGCTTTGAGCAACCTGGGCTAGAGAACTGGATGTTCTCCAAGGTCCCTTCCAACCCAAACCATTCTATGATTCTATGATTTGCAATAGATCAGCTTTGCATAGCACGCTGTGTGATGCTATGGCAAACAGCTTTCAATTGTGTGGGTGAACCTTGCTGGGTACTTGCTGGTGGCTTTGACTCCTCTGTCCCCAGGAGACCTATTGGCACAGGAGCATGGGGAGGATGGGGCTCTTTGAAGAGAGCTTCACAGGCTGGCTCTGCTGTGACATGTTTGCCATATAAATGTGCAGAGGATCATAGAGAGGAATCGTTATGCTCACCTCATTTTTAAGAATCTGAAATAAAAGCTCAGGAAATCATTGATCTGGCCAAAAACGCACGGGAAGTCTTGGAAAGCATAATTGCTTAGTGCCAAGCTCCAGTCCAGGGGCTCAGCCGTCTCAAAAACAACCAGCAAACCCCCAAGACTCTTCTGGAATTAACCAAATTAAAATATCTGTGTCACTTTCTTCCGCAGTTAAAAGTAACCTGTCCTATTTTGGGGGTGGTGCTCGTGTTTGGGGAGCGCAAAGGGTGGTAAGCATAAAGGAAAACGGGTCCCAGCTGATGGGTGGGTGTGGGGTGAGCGTAAAGGAAGCACCAGAAAAGCAACAATTTTTACAGCAGCTCCTTTGGGACTGTCCAGCAGCACCTGCACTGCTGGTGATGCCACCAGAAACCCCAGTAGGATCATGTTCCTCCCTCGAACCACAGCCTGGCTGCTGTTGTGTGCTTCTCATGTTTATAGAATACCCGTCAGCTCCAGCCCCCAAAATAAGTTCTAATATGGCATATCACGGGTGGAAATAATAGTTGCTTACATAATTTCAGTGTTACTGATATAGCTGATGAGCTGGTGATGTTATTTGCACAGCAGTGGTGGCATTCAAACCCTCGCTGACTTACAATTGCACGGGATACTCTGAGCCCTACCATGATTTAAATTACCATACCCACCCGATGAAAATACAGTCTCTTGACAAGATTAAGGGGGGGTGGTGGAAATGGTTTAAAAATCTCTTTGCGGTGGCTGCAGTGTTCAGTAGTGCTTATTCATGGCTTTTTACCTTGCACATTTCATTTTAAGAAAGTAAATTGGAAGCATTATGTTCTGCCTTTCTGCCTTGATTTAAAACCTCCCTCTGCCCGCTCTTCTGCTGGCTGACTATGTGAGCCACCTTCGGGGCTCTCGCTGGGAAATGCAGATTTTTTTTTTTAAAATTAATAGCTTCACTTTCTCCCCCCCCTCCTTTTTCTTTCCCTCTCAATAAGTGTTTCAATAGGAACTCGTGCGGATGGGAGTAGGTAGAAAGACATAGTTTGTAACCAGCCCGAACGTGATTCGTGTCAGAGCCACAGCTGTTGTAGGAAAGAGGATTTCGGAGAAGACTTGTAATTTATTCCCAAATAAGACAATAACTGGCCACAGGCTGATGCTGAGACCAAACCCCAGGGTTATATGGAGCCCTGCAGCCGCTCTATAGGCTAAAGCAGCCCTGGAGCCCACGTGAGAGCTCTGCAGGACTTGGCTGGCAGCGGAGCATTCGCTGCTCGTGTTGCTGGTGATTCACATGAGGCTCATTTTGGGTCTGGTCCCACCCCACACAGACATCACCATTGTCAGGTCAGCCCTTTGCACTATTTGCGCTTGGATTATTTTTCCCCACCTCTAGTTCCCCAACCCACACAGTGTCCATGTGTGCCCCAGTCTGTGCCTGGGAGCTGGTCCGTAGCGTCGCATCCCATCTGCAGGGGCTGTGCCCAGCTCTCAGGAGCTGAACTCACTGCTTGACAGTCTTGGACTGAAGTCCCTTAAATACTCTCCTGAACTTACAAAACCATACTTCTTCCATCTACCCAGATGTAGAGTGTCTTTATGGTCTTTTTCTCAAGTGCCTCGTGACCTGAGAACTTATGAAGATAAATTTGGCTTCAACTTATTTTTTATCTTCTGCTGCTATGACACCTTACTTCCAAGATATCCCAAGTATTTGCCCCTCAGTTCCTCCCAGCAGTGCAGTGGCAGCATTTCTACTTTGGATGAAATGTCCACAGCCCTGGTCCTCAGTGCACACCTGCCCCTGCATTCAAGTTCCTCCCATTTCTTCCCCATCAGCTCCTGATTTCAGGCTGCTCCTGACCCTATTCTTTCACTGGATTTTTCTCTCTGCCTTTATTCTGGCCCCTGGAGGTAGCAGGGAAAAAAGGGAATGGGCAGAATGAAGATCAAATGTAAAGAGGGAAGAAATAGAAATAAAAGATGCCTTTAAAGCAAATTACATGCTTAGTCCACAGCAGATCCATGTGGTACCTACAGGTGCTTTAGGATCAAGCTAAGCAGAGAAGTGTAGGTGTCTGGGGACAGAAGTTTGAAAGTGAGACACATCAGTAGAGTTTATTTTGTGCTTTTTACGTCAGTATTGCATTTATTTTGCATTGTCCCAAAGTTCTCCTTTGTGCTTCAAATTCTTGCATTGATATGTTGTGGAAGATATCAGTGGTTGATTAGAGGAGGGGCAGAACGAAAAACCAAAGGAATTAACATTGAGAAAACACCTGGGCTTCTGCAATAGTACAGATATATAGTGTTGGCGTTTCAACTGTCTGCCTCCAGTTTTATACCTGTGAGTTCACGGAGGTACCTGGGAAATCAAAGCAATGGGCTAGTGCTGCGTCTACATGCCTGACACCAAGGGAATTCTGTTAGGACAGAGAAGCCTCTAAGCTGGTGGTTGAATGAAAATTAGAAACAGGACAAGAAGAGCAAACTTGTTTGGCTCACCTGAAGGAAATGGCACTATTTTTCAAGCCAGAGGAATGAATGGGAAGGACAAAACCTCCATGTGTGCTCTGAGACCAAGAACCTGCTGGCCTTGATGGCACAGCCCTTGCTCTGCTGCTGAGACACCAGCACAGAGCTGCAGCACTGACAGGTTCAGAAGTATTTCTGTTCTTTTATTCTCAGAGAAAATCAGGTGAATGAGTGAGGTCATGTCTGCTTTTCCTCAGTGTCACACATCAAGGAGTTTTTATTCTGGCACAGAGTGAGAAGGTGAAAAGCATAATTAGTGCACCAGAAGTATCTGGGTGGACTATAAGTCAATTAGTCCACTCTGAATTTGAGTTCTGAGTTTGCTGGGAGAAGAAAATGATCTGTAGTCCATGTGAATACAGAGGTGATCAGCTCTTTCTTAATAGAAATGGTTTTACATCGTTCTCTAAGGCTGGGCAGAATCTGTAAAGAGTTACGGGTTTGGTACACTTATCTAATGCAGTTTATGTCTGAGATGAAAACACGGAGCTCTTTGGGTAACAGGCAATGAATGCAACAGGATTAGCTGGAGGGATAAACCGCAGAGGGTCTAATCAGGTGAGGCAATATATGGTTTCCCTTGGGCTTAGAATTTGATTCAGACCTAGAGGAGTTTTTTGAAAACTACATTATATAGATCCACACAAAGATAAGGAACAATGCAGACCCTGTTTGGAGCATATGAAAATATTTCTAATCCTGCCCTTTTGTACATGTTGTCCAGTGTGGATAAAAGGGAGAAACTTGCTGCTGTGAGCATTCAGCCCTTCTCTCTGGATGCCATCCTGATTGATTTGCTTGTGGTGTGGAGGGATATGTGAGCAGCGCTGGCTGGCTGCCGCTGAATGACACTCATCGAAAGATTGCCGTATGAGGGACCTC